CTGGCTCCTATATATTCTGTAGAAGGGATGCATGTCATTACAGTAGAAGGAGTTGGGAGTATCAGATTTGGCTTGCATCCAATACAGGCATTTCTCTTCATTCATCCTTTGATCATTTTCCCATTTAAGATCTATGAGATAACTATTAACTATTACTAATCCCTATGAAGATTATTACACTCTGATTTTGGATAATATCTATTGTGTCTTAGGAATCATTAGCCCGTGCTCATGGCTCACAATGTGGGTTTTGTACTCCTGGTTTCATTATGTCCATGTATGCACTTCTTAGATCATCTCAAGAACTGCCCACTGAAGAGGAAATTGAAGAAAGCCTCGCGGGCAATTTATGTAGATGCACCGGTTATAGACCAATAGTGGATGCATTTCGAGTATTTTCCAAAACTAATGATGCCATATACACTAGTGGGTTATCAAAAGGTGATTCAGAGTTTCTTTGTCCTTCAACAGGTAAGCCATGCTCTTGTGGTTTGAAAGACGCAAGTGATGAACAGAACCATAAACACATAACTGATGGTGGTGGCCTGAAACCAATATCTTTTAATGAGATTGATGGAACTGCATACACCAACAAAGAGCTTATTTTCCCTCCCGAACTTTTATTAAGAAAAATGACGTATTTGAGATTAAGTGGATCAGATGGATTAAAGTGGTATAGACCCTTGAAACTGAAAAAATTATTTTGGAGGAAATTTTCTGAATTACTCTCTTGTCTCTACAATTTACAATAAGGACATATATATAGGATCTCACAAGTTGAGACTCCTAATCAGTAAAGGAAAAGGAAAAGGAAAGAATCTCTATACAAGGAAAACTACCAAAACAATATATACACAAATATCTCCCAATATTCTACCAATTATTCTCTTTCCTTTAACACCCCCCCTCAAGTTGGAGCATGTAGTAACGAAATGCCCAACTTGGGAAGAAGAAACTCCAAACGGGACTTTCCGAGTGCCTTTGTATGAATGTCTGCAAGCTGATGCGTAGTAGGCACATGAAGTGTACGAATCTCTCCTCGCAAGAGTTCATCACGAACGAAGTGACAATCAATCTCAATGTGCTTCGTGCGTTCGTGGAAAACCGGATTAGCAGCAATGTGAAGAGCTGCCGTGCTGTCACACCGGACCGTCATGGGGTTCTTATGCTCAACCCCTAAACACCGCAATACATTCTTTAACCACTTCAACTCACATGTAAGGACAGCCAAAGCTCTATACTCCGCTTCAGCAGACGAGCGAGCCACCATCGACTGCTTCTTTGTTTTCCATGAGACAGGCGAGTCTCCAAGCTGTACGAACCACCCTGTCAATGACCGCCTTGT